TATTTGTTTCACTTAAAAAAATAAAAAATGAAATTAATATGTTTCTTTTATAAAATATTAAGATAAGTTCTTGTTAAAAATTCTTCTTTAATACAAAAATGAAAAAAAAAATATTTTTATAAATATTTAATTCCTTTAATTCAAAAACTTTTAATTGTATTTATTTATTAAAAAAAACTAAAACTAAAACTTTTTGAAAATTATAAGAATCATAAACGAAGCTAAAAAAATAATGACAAATTTAAAAATAACAAAAAAATATTAATAGTTCTCCTTTAGAGTAAAATAAATATTTTTAAAATTAAAATAATTTTTGCACTATTAATTAAAAGGTAACTATTTTAATAAATAAACAAAGGTCGTAGAGTGCTAATACTTTTCTTATGCATAAACCACTCTAAACCTAAATTTAGTTTCGAAGATGATTTCTATTAAAAGTTTTTTTAATATTTTTCTAATAAACTTTGGTAACAACTCTTTATCATCACTGTTCTGTGATAGCTCAAGCTGTGATAAGAAGTAGATTATAATAAAGTTTTATTTTATACAAAATCAAGACATATGCATAAACAAATTTAAAATTGGACATATATGTAATATTCTATTTTTTAATTCTATTTCTTTTAAAAATCCTTATTATTATTGGTAACTCCTTATCATATTTTTATCTTAGTTTTACAAAATATTAGTAGCCAAATGGCACGATTAATATATTTTTTGGTATGCAAAGAAAAACAAATGTAGGTATCGTATATTCAATGATATAAAGTAAGAGCTTTATTGTTGAAAACAAAGAGTTGAAAATGGTGATGAGAAGTTCATGAATGTATTTTTAATATTCTTGATTTTTTTATATAATTACACATGTATCCTCATCTATAAAATTGGAATACATTTAATTTCGATCAGATTAATTTTTTTTATCATGTCTTTCAAAACAATATCATACTTATTATTCTTCCAAAAATAATATGCAGATTCTTTGAATTTTCTTTATTCTAAAAGTTTTAAACTCTTTCTTCAATTAATTATGATAATTTCATGTACTTATTAAAAAAACTACAACTAAATTTAAAAAACTAAATTTATTCACAAATGTTAATTATTATCTTGTGACTATTTCACTAAATGTAACAAAATTGGCCAATTTTTATTGAAATTTATTTTGCAAAAAAATTTTAATTACTTTTATCAACTTACTTTTTGCAGAATGATGAGTACAAACAGACTTGTGTGAATACCACTTTTTTTCTTTTCCACGATTACTCCCAAAATTTTATACTTTTGTTTTTCAAAAAAATATATATATAAAATTTTGAAAAAAGAGATTTAGCCCCAGAAATGGAAATCCTGCATCAGGCAGGCTTACACTCAGCTCCTAGAGTAAACCCCATGCATAAAAAGAGAAAGGTTCAGAAGATTTTCTTCATGTGAAACCCTAAGATGAAAAGAACGGAACCCATATAAATACACAAGTAAGGGATTTGAGAAGGAAGGGGGAGGAAAATTTTAAGAGCGGTTGATTATTTTTTTTTTTTAAAAAAAATCTTAAGAGAGATCTGAGAGAAAGGAAGAAGAAGAGATCAGAAATAAAAGAAGAAGAAAATTCATTAGCGGCTCCAGGTATTTCTTTCTCGCTTTATTACTTTGTTCGTCGTTGAATATCTTTGAAGAACAACGAGTGATAAAAATAAAATGTTTTCGAAAGAGCTATTGGGTAAATGAGAGATGGAAGAGAAATATTGAAATCAAATTGTGAAACCACTGTTATTACTTTTGCTATACATTTTAATAATATAATATGATATTATTTGAAAACAATGATTTGAAAAGGGCCTGAAGTCTAGAACACGAAACTGCTACCTACTCCTGAGGTGCCAGACTTCCATTAACTTTTCATTTTTTTTTTGTTTTTTTTTTGTTTTTGTTTTGTTTTTTTATATATATTCTTTTAAAATTTTCTAATGTGAAAGTTTTGTTCCAATCCGATTCCGATTATCTCTGCAACATATGTCTCGGCTTTTACTTTCATTTCATTTACATCTTTTATCTTAAATGTTTTATTTTTATTTTCTTTTTCCTTTTTTTCTTCTTTCTTTTTTTTTACTTTCGGATTTTTAAGTTTTGTTTCACAGTTTTTTTTTTAATTCTTTTGTTAAAAGAGTGAACATTATTATTTTTATTATTCCTATCCCAGATTATATTCTAGTGATACATTTTATCATAAATAATATATTTTATTTGTTGATTTTATTTTATTTTATTATTACCTTTTTATTAATTTTCTTAGTTTTATTTTATTCTAATATTAACAATAAAATTTTCTTTTATATTATCTCATTATTTTTTGCTTTAGTTAATATGTTAGTCACTTATCATTTAAAATTGTTATTATTATTATTATTATTATTATTATGGTTGTTATTATGGTTGTTGTTGTATATTTATAAAATATAGATAATGATTTAATTTATATTTATGGTTTATCTTTTTACATTATATTTTTTTATTTTTTTTAATTAATAAATAATAATATAATTGCATCATTTTATAATACTAACGTATAGCTTCTCTATCGTCATGTATTATAAATTGATAAAGTCTATGTGTGCCTACGTTATCAAGACTTTATGCAATATTAATTTATTATGTATTATCTTAAATTAATTAGTTAATCACTCTAATAATAAGTCAAAGTATATTTTTCCTTCTAATTACTAACTTACTTACGAATCAATCAACTAATTTAAATCTAAATTATTTTATTAATAAAACAATTTATAATGCTAATGTGTAGTGACTCTACCCTCATGCATTGTAAATTGTTAGAACCTATGTGTACCTACGTTTCCTTAGGTTCTATACAATATAAATTTATCAAACAAAGTTTTATTTATTTCTTATTAAATATTTTTTTTAATCAATTCAAATATATATTTACTCTTTTCATCAAATAAGATTGATTTCATATTTTAAAATTTCTTAAGTCATATTTCTAATTCCGATCAATTAAATAATTAAACATCTCTTTACTTATTTATAAAATTTTTTTTATATCATCGATGTGTAATTTACATTGCCTTCGATTATTCAATAAATTATAAGAGATTTATGTATAGATTATGATATCTTAAATTCTCTTTCAACGTTAATTATAATCAAAATTTAAATTTAAATACTTGATTTATGAATAAAATATTTTTAACGATTTGCAATATAGTTGTGTGATCTTCCTTCACTTTCTGTATTATTTCTCGTAGGGTGCATGTATAATTGCGTTATCTTGTATTCTAAATATTATAATTTTACAAAATAATTTTAATTTCAAAATAAATTTTCTTTTACTAAACCTAATTTTAATCAACTAACCTCATAACTTTTTAGATAGAACTACGTGACTTTGAGTTCCCCATTGCATCTGGGGATACGTAGGAGCGGGAACCGAACCCGTCAAGTCAAAATAATTTTTAAAATAACCCAAATAATATTTCAATAAATAATATTTCTTCTTCTAAAATAAAATAATTAATGTTTAGGGGTTAAATAAATATTTTTCAAAATTAGAATGAATTTGCACAATTAATTTTAGGTAACCGTTTTTTAAACGGACGGTGTAGGGTGCTAATACCTTCCCTACACGTAAATGACTCCCGAACTCATTTTTGGTTTCAAAGATCGTATTATATTTAAGTTTTTCCAAGGTTTTTCTTAAAATAAACTTTGGTAGCGACTCCTCTGATACTTTTTTAAAAAAACATTTTTCGCCTTACCGTTGCGACCGCCCGGTTGCGACAACTTGGATTCTTTGTTTACCTTAAAACCTTAAAGATATTAACAAATGAGGTCAAGAAAAGATCGAAGATATTTTATTAAGAAAATTAGTTCAAGCAGTTTTTGATGAAGACATCTAATTGCAAAAAGCTCTCAAAGAGACGAAAAAAATGTGTCAAAAAGATTGTTCTTATTGGGTAAAATTTAATAAAAAAAAATTTGATATGTTGACAATGATTATTAACAGTTATAGATAAAAACATGTGAAAAATATCGTGATTAATAAAAAATACGATTAAAATACATATTTTAGACAATTATTTTAATATTCTTTTGTAAATAGGATTTTAGGTTATAAAAGTAGGACTTCTTTGGTTCTTAAACACTTACACTCATATCTCGAAAATTGTCAAACAATCTATCAACAAATTCGACTCAATAAAAAGAGATTAAAAAATGATTTGTCTCGCTTGAAGTTACATGTTCTTCGTTTGAATGTCACTTGTTTACGTTAATAATTTTATTTAAAACATACTAATAAAAAATTTATTAAAAAATATAAAATTCAATTTTAGATTACTATTAAATTTATTTGTTTGTTAGAAAAATTTACTATAGACAATTATATAAACTATCCTTAATTATTTAACTAAAAAAAAAGTTAATGTAAAAAAGAGATCAAAGAGTATGACCGAAATTTTATTCAATCTTAAAGGGCGTAATTATATTTTGTACAAAATTTTAATTATATAATTTATGTATTATATTTTAAAATTATTATGCAAATAAAAACAAAAGATATAATCAATCTTGTTCTTGATATTTTCTTTTGCATGTACTTCTGATATGCAAAATGAAATAAAATACACTACTGGACATCAAAACTTCTGTATTAATTATCAATAAAATTATGGGGTTAATTCTTTGCTAGAGATACTTTAATTATACATGGAAAGAATAAAATATGATTAGGTGAGGATATCAGAAAATGATGTTCCATACTTCTGGAATAACTAAACCTCAATTCAAATTAATGAAATTCATTGATATATATTGCAAATTCATCTTTATTTATTTCTTTGTTCATAAGAGCAAATTTACAATAACACACTCACTTATTCACTCACCCACAATCTACAGCGACGTTTATGTTATATATCATCTAATTTTAAACTAATAAGTAGCTCCCATAAGAAAACAAAACATATTTCTTTTCATACATAAGAGCCTCAAACACCGCAATATGCTTTGATTCGATTTTTACATTTTGCGCCCTCTTCTGTTGAAATGAAACCAAGATATCCATAAGAGTTGAATGGCTTATATCGCAAAGGATGTTCTTCATCGATTAAATCCTCTGATGTTTGCACCACCGTATTACTGTATGAAAACAGTCCCAATGAATACCTGGTTACATTTGATTCTGATAAGATAATACGATGTTCACAAGCACGTATCCTTTCACTGCTCCATACCTAAAGCCATACATGAGTGTCAACTCAGATCTTTAAAATAGGTCTGAAATTTTTTATCATACATTGAACAAATATGAAGACGAATGTTGAATATAATACAACATAGTAACGATGATAATTTCTTAAAAAAATTAAATTAAGATATTAATTAAACAATATACATTAAGCAAAATATAATTATTTTATACATTACTTAATTACGCTTTATAATTTTGGCCTTTTAGATTCTTTTTTTTTTTCATATATGTGATATTTATAAACTAATTATTTATATATTATTAGTTTTTAATTTATTATAAATTTATTAAAAAAGATTATCATAGCCAAATTTAAATAAAGCCATCATATTCAAATGGTCATGATTCTTTCATTTTTAAAAGTAACTTATATAAGAAATTTAAAGATTATCATAACTCTAATATTGCTTAAATAAATTTTAGTCCTTAAAATATTATGATTTTTTTTGTTTTAGTTTGTAAAAAAAAATGTATTTAATTTTAGTTCTTATATCTAATAAAGAAGAACATGATTTTAATGACACAGCAAATATTAAAATTATGTAATTTTTATAAATTTAAAGATTAAAATTGAATAATTTAAAAAAAATTATAACACATTCAAGGACTGTCTTTTAACAGACGAGTTTATGTGACTCTAAAATGTCTAATGTCATTTCATTTTAAATAAATTTTATATAAAATATTATTTTTCATTGATTAATCAAGTTAATAATATATTTAAATTAACAAATCTTAAATAGAGTGACATAATTATATAAACGTGAATATAAACATTCCCACAAATAACTTATTTAAACCTTCAAATACATATTGAATCGTCATATGAGCTCAACGATGATGATTTATAGCATATATTTTCCTCTTAACTTATTTTAAAGAGACTTACCATAAACGCATCACCTGCTATGACACAAAACAAAGGTGAGGCATCAAGTCGAAACCATTCTCCATCTTTCAATTTAATTTCCAAGCCAGCTACCTTCTGATGCAGTATGGATACGACGGTTGTGTCTGTATGAGGAGTCAGTCCCACGTTGCTCTCATCCATCTCAGGTATCCTGTATTTGTGCCCTCGAAACACGTAATTCATTGATTCAAGGAAGGATTCACATTTCTGCTTGTCCAAACCATAGCTATCAAACACCATTTTCTTTACAGTTTGGTCTAGTTCTTTCATCACCTTAGCATATGCATTCACCCTTTCACTATTTAGGGAAGAAAGGCAAATTAAAATTAAAAAATTAATTATAAAAACAAACTTTAAGCCCATTTCCTGAAATACTTTCGGTGTTATTTGACAATAAAAAATAATAGAACTTTATTTTAATAATATGTTAGCAAAAGTTGGAATGATATACCAGAAATAGTCATTTCCTCCGGGCCACATTATGTGTGTATACTTTTTGCATTCTTCTAAATTCATTGCATTTTCAACTGCAAAAGCTTCGTACAGAGGGATTGCGGGGATTTGTCCGTTGTATCCATGAAATGGTTTATCACTGGTTTTTCTACTTTTTGTTTCCAATGGGAGATCAAATACTTCTTCAGTGGCACTAAAAACGGAGTTGAGAAGCTCTGGACCAACCTTATCAAACCGTGCTAGGAAACAACCGTTATCCTCAAATCCTCTCCGTACCACTTTACAAGCTTCAAGCCATGGATCGGTGCCAGGCTTCATGTTTTCATTCGAGAAATCAACAACAGCAAGTGGAGACTCAGACATTGCTACAGTTACCATGTTCGTATAAAATAGATGTTTCTTAAGTGTTTTGTTTCAATGTCCTTTCATTTGTGTAGTCTTAATTGAATTATATACACACATACAAAATAAGCTTCTCGGTGTAAAAGTTTGTGAGTAGCTTCATTAGTTAGTTAATTAGTGTTAGTTGCATTTATAAATATAAGTATTTGATCGCTCTCGATATTAGTTTATTGTTTTGATTCTCATTATTAGTTGTCACTCAATAATTACCATTTATAAATGCCGGACTCAACTTTTAAGAACGGAACATTAAAAACTCAAAATAATATGATACTTAAACTCGGTTTGTCAGTTACTGCTGATGCTGACTCAAGCAACTTTTATTTCTTTGCTTTTTTTGATAATTTTGATTATTTTCTTTTGTGAAGACGTTAATTAAATAGTAATGAAATGTCATGGCACCTAAGTTTAATTAGAATGCTGCTTTATCGAATAAAATATATGCACTTAATTATACTCGACAATTATCTACTGAAGATTTCATTGATTGAATGGTTAAAATATTTGTGCTTGATGGTTCTGAATAATAGTTAATGGTTTGATTCTCAATGGTGATTGAGTAATTTAATGGACACAAATTTTACTATCACTCAATTATTCCCTCGAAAGCACAATTTGTGATATTTAAGTAGGAATAGTAATAGGTAAAGTATGAGTAAGGTATTATAGTATCTATTTTCGTATGTAACGTGTTTTTTTTTTCAAATATATGTATACTTCAATAGTATATAATGTATATATTTTGTAATTCTATCTGCATAGCTTTAAAATATGAAATATTATTTATAATAAATTATAAATGTATATAATTTGGTAAGGAAAAAATGTACATATATTTCAGAAAATAGAAAAAAAATAAATCTATTTTAAATATTTATGCATTTATAATATACATAATAAAATTAAAATATTTATATTAGGAACTTTTAAAACGTGACAAAAATAACTCACTTATATAATAAATTACAAAGAGAAATTCCATTTCATTTAAATTGTAATGTAATTTATACAACAGAAATCTACATCGGTTAACAAAAAACTGATGCAAAAATAAAAGTGGTGTCATTTTTGAAATTTTAACGAACCTTTCTACATAGGTTTGGTTAAAACCAATGTTAAATGTGTTTACTATACATCGGTTGTAATTGACAATCGATGTTAAATATTTTCTACATCGATTGTTACCAATAGCTGTTGTAGAAGAGTGTTTATAGCTTCACTTTGCTGCTTATGAACAATCACTTTTCACTTGTCCAATACACAAAGCACATCAATTTTTGTTTCTTCCCTTTCTCGCGCAAGGTATGGAAGCTTGTTAAACTTCCTTCTGTGTCATATAAGGTATGTAAATTGCTCTCGAATTTGATTTTATATGTTTCAACCTCATGTATGCGTTCTTCTCACAAGTTTTATGTTTAGGGTTTATTGTTTTTTCCTCGTACAATCTCAGCGACAGCAACAATCTCATTTTTCTGAAGATTACTTTAAACTTTGTCGCGACTACCTTTGAAGTAAGTGACTTTACCTATTTGTATGATAGTTTATTAATTTGTTTTGATTATTGGATCCAATGTCATCCTTCGTTGCTGAATAAATATGGATTAATATTGTGTTGTTCCTTTTATTTAACACAGAATAGTGTATTTTAAACTCTGCCATTGTATGTGTCAATTTTTGTAATCCTTACTGCATGTGCACACTACTTATTTGATAAAACTCCTCAATGAAATTTTTAGTGGAATAGGTGTAATGGGACTGGATAAAAAGCATATAGTTTAAATTAGGCATAAGATGCACATTAATTTTTAGCTGTACAACAACATACAAGGGGCAGAATTTATCAAGGTTTTATGGTATGATTAGCAAGTAGCAATTGTAATTGTAAAGAGGAGCTAGTATCTTGGTAGGCTGTGAGTGTCTTGAGGGATTGGACAAATTGTTATACTAAATCAGTGATGAGTTAGTTTGCATAAGACATGTTGAAGTGTATTATGTATTAGATAAATTAAGAAGTTGACCTTTTAAGGTGATTCAAGTAAGGAATTAAGCAACCATTGACCAGAAATATGTTTGATTAATATTGGAGATGTATCTTTTTTGTTATCATTGATGGATAATTAGCAATCGTGGTTCTCTCTTCTCAGTTCAATATATTATAATGATGGATATTTATCGATTGGGGTTCATAACTTGATTTGTTCCTTTATTTAACCACCCTTCAATTATTAACTCTTTATGTAGCTATGGATCGTAGTTGGATAAATTGTAGACATATAAATGAAGAGTATGAGAATAGGGTCAAACCATTTTTACAATTTGCGCAAAGAAATGTGCCTAATAATACTGAAAGATTTTATTGTCCTTGTGTGAAGTGTTTGAATTTAAGGCAATTGAGTGTTAAAGATATAAGAGAACATGTGCTCTATGATAGATTTTGCAAGAGTTATACAACATGGATATGACACAGTGAATTAGAAATATGCCCAACTTGTTCTAAACAATTGAGGTTGATGTAGACATGAACGATCGATTGGAAGATATGATACGTGATATTTAGGAAGAGTCTTTTCAGAGACAACATGTTTTTGAGAACATATGTGAAGATAATAATAAACCTTTTTATCTAGGGTGTCCCAATTTCACACGGTTGTTAGGAGTGTTAAAATTAATTAACTTGAAGGTAAAACATGGGTGGACTGACAAAATTTTACTGAATTACTTGAATTATTGAAAGAGATGCTTCCAAAAGGTAAGACTTTTCCAGATCATAATTATGATGTAAAGAAGATTTTGTGAGGAGATGCTTTGTATTTCAGTTATTCAAGCATGGTTAATGTAAGTTCATTCTTGTTAGTTTTTTAGAATTTGTTAATGTGTACTATGTTCAATCAGTAATATTTATTTTTATTGTACCATATTGTAGTTATCTACATCAACATGCACTTAAAAAGGGTGTGGATCATTTGTTTGGGTTCCTTATGTAACATCTTGTGCTTTGTGTCATGCTTGCAGTATATCATTGAGAAAAATCTGTAGTACTTTGTGAGCAGAAAGAAATCGTGTATGTATAGTAGCCCCTGATGTCAACAGTGACATCACGCTAATGTCATCGGCGACATCACACTGACATCATCGCTTATGTCATTGGTGATCTCACGCTGACATCATCACTTACATAATCGGTGACATCACGCTGACATCATCGCTTACATCACGTTGACACTGACATCATCGGTTGCATCATGCTGACATCATCGCTTACATCACGTTGACGCTGACATCTTCAAAAATTTTCTATAAATAGGGAGCTTCACATGAAATTTTCATTTTTTCACTCCTATCCAAGGTTCTCAAAGGTTCTAAGGCTATATCTCACCATTTTCTCCCATACTAAACCTCATAAACTTAGATTTCTCTTCAGATCTGTGATTCTACGTCCGTTCTAAAGGATTTCAAGTAAGTTTCTCTAAGTTTAAAGTTAGATTTACTGTTTATTTCTCTTCTTCTTCTTTTTCTTATAGATGTTCATGGTATTCTTAGGAAAAACTCCGTTCTAGAGTTAAAATCTTCAGTTAAATCTTTATAAAAGCTTTGTTTTGAGGTAAGGGGAGCTCTACTTTATCATTTTGTTATGTTTATTACTTGTATTCTCATAGATCTTGTCATGTATTTGATTATATGTGGAATAATCCTTGTTTTATGAGAAATAATAGGTAAAAAGTGAGAATAATTGGCTGTTTAAGTGATTTTATGATGAATACATGGTGAAAATGTGATATTACGTTCAAATAAGGCATGATAAGGTATATTGAGGATGGTTGATATGATTTTATGATTTTGTGATATGAAATATTCAAAGAGATGGATGTTTCATGTTTGAATATATTGTGTTTCATGTAAAAATGATGTGTATTGTGAATATACCATGGTTTAATGTATATGATGAAAGATATGTGTGAACATGAGAAATGACATATGTGAACATGTGAATATACTTGTAAGAGTATGAGATGGAAAAAAAAATGTAAATAGTTACAGAGATACACTGGGGGAGTGGAAGATGGAGACAATATGGTATATCTTGGAGAAATGTAGGGTGGTGAGTGACATTCGGGATTGTGCACGGAATATTGTGTACGAATGCACCACATGGTCACACACTCGTTTCTCAACTTGACTCATGACCATTACCTTTGCTAAGGGGCTATCATTTGCATGCGTTGTATCCGTATTGCATTGGGCCATCCGGCAACTGTTTACATTGGATGTGTAAGACCTCGGGATAGATGCATCCGATAACTATGGCCACAGGGCGCGGTAAGCGCGTATAAAAGTAAAAGAAATTGTGAATCTGTGGAATATAATATGTGTTGAGATGAGAATATGCTTTATATGACACTGTGATATGTAATGCCATTATGTTTTCTTTAATCGTGATAAGATGTGTTTTGTGATGAATATATGTGTTATGTATGAGTGGTAGGGTAGAGACTCACCCTTACATAACATTTTTCAGGAAACCAGGACGAATAGTATCAGGCTCACAGTGCATGGATGGATGAGAACTGCTATAGGACTTAGTTATTTTGAGTTATGTAATGGATAATTTCAGTTCTATAGCATTCTTTTGAAACAGTTGTAAAACTACTATTTCTTTTTGTTGCTGATGAAAAACTTTAGAATCTTTGTTTCTCTAAAGCACTTATGAATTAATGAAATTTTACTCTATGAACCTTATATCATTTCAATGGCTTTTTCTTATTAGAGAGTTTTTGAAAGAAAATTTTACTCTACCATTTAACTTTTTATGAAAATTTATCATATATTTAGAAAAGAAATATAAGGTGTTACACCTTGACCCTCTTCAAATTCAGGACTTAGGAAACAAGTATGAATCTATTCAATCATATATTCAAAAAAGGTTGTGTGAAAGAAAGAAGCATTGCTACCTTGCACCCTTCCATTATGGGTATATT